GTCCTGATTTTCCCAACCCGGCCATTTTAAACACAAGTTGTTGCAGATGCAAATGTTAGAACAAACTATATAAAGTTCAACAGGGATTGTATAATTTTTATTAATCAGAATTCGTATTTATATGATCTAATTAAGAAAAGAAAAGTTTTTTTGCTGACACCGTAACTTCTCGGCAAAACAAAACGTGTTTCTCCGAGCTCGCTGGATGCGTGTGACAGCTCCATTGCACATGTGTAGACCAAGGCTACAGGTACATGTAGGCCTATGTGTACTGTTTGTTAGGAGACTGGGTGACTGTAATGCTATGGAATCACGATATTTACAACAGTTCCATAATTAGACAGTGCAGTTTTTTTTTATTAACGTCATTATAAACACTGTTAAACATATTAAATCTAACAGTCGAATATCTTTGGATATGGGGTAACCCATATCTATTCTTGTTACTTTCGCTTTTAAATTGCAGCCGCGCTATCGACAGTCATTTGAAAGTGATAAGTCTATGTGTAAATATCTTAAATGGCAGAGACGATAACAGGGTTTAGATTAGAAAGTAAAGATGAAAATTGTATTCGAGGTTGGGTATTGTCAGAGGAAATCCTTCAGCAAGTTATTGAAGCACATTCAATACGCACGGGATGTCAATTTGTATCGTGGTAAGTAAAATTTTTTTTTAAATTATCCTTATTTGGTGGGGGTGTTCTTTTTGTAAAATATGCCCATTTATTGGATAAACCTAATCTATTTAATAGATTAACTTGTAGTTATATTTTATAAATAAATGACATTCATAGGCGTCGGAAGCAAATTGAAAAGGGGGTGGGGGGGGGGGGGGGGGGTTAAATCAACAAAAAAGTATACACCATATTTAATCCCCCCCCCCCCCCGCTTCCAAAGCCTATGCATGTTTTTTACATGTACTGTAGAATTTTAGCAATTTTGGACGGAAATGAACTTTTCTTAAAATATGCTCATATTTTTTACATCTATTGTAGAATTTTAGCAATTTTAGACGGATACTACTAAACAGAGTACGCTAGAGTACGATAGAGTACTTTAGAGTACGCTAGAAAAATTATGTTATGCAATTAAATTGTTTATTTATGTAAGTACAACTTTATTAAACAATATTATGGACTTATAATTCAATATTTGTTTCAAATATTGTTTTTAGCGATATTTTGACAAGATAATAACATCCATAATTCAACGTACATGTAATTTATAAAGATTACTTATACCCCAATCTCGATTACTATTTTGTTTCAAACTTACTAAGACTTATATCTCAATTTTATCGAACATTAAATTAATTGCATGTGTAAATTTTTTGCACATTCATTATGAGACATTTCAACATGTTTCAGTTAAATTAGATCGGGGTCAAACGATAAACCGTAACTTGAATTCAAACATTGAAATAAGTCCTAAAATAAAGAAAACATACAAACTTTATTTAAAATGTATATTCAATATGTTAAACTAAAGTAGAAAAACATACAAAAAGTAGTTTAATTGCATTAAATTATCAAATATTACTAGCGTACTCTAAAGTACTCTATCGTACTAGCGTACTCTGTTTAGTAAGACCGATTTTGGACGGAAATGTTCTTTTCTTAAAATATGCCCATATATTGAAAGCATATAATCTATCAAATGGATTCACGTGTAGTTACATGTTATAAATAAATGACATTTTTTATTAGATCTACTTTAAAGTTTCTTATTTCCATTGTGCTATGTATTTTCTTGTACCAAAAATTTCTTACGGAGTGGAAATATAGACGTAAAAAAAATATATGGAAATTTTTGAACATGAAAACTATATTAACTAATTTATAATTCCGATAAAGATGATACCTTTATTTAAAAAATTGAAACAGACAAAAAATTACTTTATTATTTTTCCTGAAATTCAGATTTACAAATCAGGGCAATTTCAGGCATCACACAGACAACAATCATGATTTATACAACATTTGACAATTTTTACAGCACAGACTATACTAAATAATATTAAAAATAAGGAAAAAATGGGGAGGATTTAGAATAATCCCAAAAATTCAATCACCTACTGATTTCAGAGAAAATTGTTCATTTTACACAATGTATGCATTGCATTATCTAAACCAGAAATATGATAATCTTGCTAAATTATTATAATTTTCATGGGAGCTTAAGCTTTGATTAGAAATGAATTAAACAAGACATAACATAATTGTGTAAATTTATGTAATATGTTACCATTTTAGACCATCTACTGAACATATGTTGCGGATTAGGTTAACTTTGTTCTCAGTGTCAACTACTTTCAGTACCAATTTTAATGCTACATTTTCGGTACATTACTAAAATTGGGGGGGGGGGGGCAAACAGGCTGTCAATTAACATTGACTTTAGTAATAGTAAGGTTGAGGAAAAAAGTGGGGGGGGGGGCAGCCCCCCCTTTGCCTGTTGCTACGCCCCTGTTCAGTCTAGAAAGCTAAAATATGATTCATGAAATTTCGCATTAATCCGATTATTAAATTAAAATTGCTGGGGAATTAACTTCCGTAACATGAACTTCCATAACGATACTTCCGTAACATTAACTTCCATAACGATACAAATAATATTTAATTACTAAGAAACAGAAGTAGAACCAGTACCTTCATTATTATCATAATTATCATTATTAATTGTTACTTAATTGAAAAAAAAATGATTTCTTACAGAAAAAAACATAAGCAGCATACACAGAGATGATTTTCTATCAACACTGCGTAATGTTGCCTATTAAACAGTAGAAGAATATCATTTGGCTGAAGAAAAGTTGAGGAGCTGCCATTGGTTCAAACAACCATTGCAGAAATATATTGAAAACAAATGGTTGTCTGTGAAAGAGGTTTGTATATATTAATGTACTATACATTAACACTATCCATTTGTATTTCACTTGAGCTGTAGCCTCAATTGAGCCTTTCTGATCACATTTTGTCTGTCGTCCGTCTGTCTGCCAAGCTGTCTGTCCATCTGTCTGTAAACTTTTTACATTTTTTGACTTCTTGGGAACCACTGGGCCAATTTCAACCAAACTTGCCACAAAGTATCCTTGGGTAAAAGGAATTCAATTTTTGTTCAAAATATGAGCCATGCTGTTTTTCCAAGAGGTGATTAATAAAAATTAGCGAAAAGACTTTGTCTTTAAAATCTTGTTCTCCAGAACCACAGACAGGAAAGATGAAACTTAAAGGGAAACATCCTGAGGAAGTGTTTTTATATTTTTTTTCAAATTATAGACCCCCCCCGGGGATAAGGCTGAGTCAAAGCTATTTTAAGTCATATTTATATTAAAGCAATTCCTTTAATTAAAGTTTATTCAAATAATGATCTCTGGGGTAGAGATGTCAGCTACAATTGGGATCAAATTTTTACAACGGAATTTATATTAATAATTTTTTTATTATTTTCAAGATCAACAAAGACATTTGTCGTATAGACAATTCACAGGAAGCATCTTCGGTAGTTTGAAATTCTAGTATATTCCCTCTCTGTATGTCTATGGGCTTTGGCAATTTTTTTTTCTACAGAACCATTTGGCCAACATGATTTAGAGCATTAATATATATGGGATACTAAAAAATATTATATAATGAGAATCTTTAAAATTGAACGAGACTGCTGTTATTCTTGCTTCATCAACTTGTTTGTCAATAATTTACCTTGTTTTAGAAATAGGTCATAAGTTATAATGATGCATAAGTAAGGGAAGTTGACAATAGAAAATTTAAAGTCATTTATCATAGAGCTTTATTGTTAGATTACCATTAACATCTTCTCCAATAAAAATATCCAAATGTGAAAGAGATGTGTCAGACTCTGTGGTATCTTTTATCACAAGCTCACCAGAATATATAATATTGAATAAGTATATATAGTATTGAATAAGAATGAACATTTTTTCTCAAATCAATTGAAAGTGCTAAAATGGCGATTTTGAAATTGCAAAACTTGTCTGAAAATAATGAACATGATGAAGTATATGCATTGTAAAGAACCTTGCAGACAATGTTACTTGATTGATCTGAATCACACACATTTATGTACTATCTAATATTGCTAAAAATAATAAAATTTTATATATTGCTCTGCTAAATGTTAAACATGTTCTATGAATATTTTGTATTTCAGTCCAACCAGCTACTTGTAGATGGTAATGTATTCTTGTGTTGTGAAAAGTATCATTATCATGTGTTGTCTTGGTGGCATTTAAATCATGCAAACAAATGAAGCATTTATATATACATGTATGTACATCTCTCACTACATGTATTAATGGAATGGTGTAATAATAATTCAATTAATTCATTATTAATTTTTATTTCTTCTTCAGCTTTATCCCTTTCATTACATATTTCATGCTTATGTAAATCAGAGTTATTTTCTGCATAACACTACATTTACAATTTTTTTGTTAGTTTTTCAACTTTATGAATATTGATTAATTTATGTAAATGTAGAAGGCTTATATAGTGACATACATGCAAGATAATCAAATTCAAAGGGTATACAAACATAAATGGCCCAACATAAATTCTTACTGGCTCTTGAATTTATGGTCGGTGCCAGACATAGATTTGAGTAAGGCCAACATCTAGTAAATGAAAGGTTTTTACAGATATATCAAATATATCAAAAACCTGTAATGATGCTTTATAATATAGCTTGGTCAAATAAGGTGTTTCAGGGCATAATTTGTAGGTAAACAAGATAAACACTCATATATTAAACTAGCTGTCAATTCCTATGAAAAGTTAAGAAAACCAGTCATGATTATTTTAGTTTTTTTCCATATCAGGCAAAAAAAAGTCTTTCAGAAAACGGATATTTGTATGTTCTTGACCTCTTCTTTAAAAATTATGTTGCAATTAATATAGGTATCGGGACTTAACTTTTCATTTTATTTCAAACAGAATTTCATGTAAATACTTTTTCCTACATAATTCTATTATAGTCGCAAAATGGGGAAAAAGACAGTTGAAAGGGATTGTGATGTCATTAATGGATATGCACCTAAAAGAACAGTCTAAAGTCATTATCTAATCTTGACTTTTATCATTTATTAAAATTATAATACTCTTTATTCAAATCCAAATATTAATTGATTTTAGGTGCAATTATTAAGGAAGTCAGGGTTTTAAAATAGTTTTAATTGTAGGGTCCCTATTGCTGGGATCAACACATAGTTGTAATGCAGCAAGCATTTTATATGCTGTTGAAAATAAAAATATATCAACATATCAGTCAAGAGAGTATATTCTATATAAATCAGGATCTTTTCAAATAAAGATTAAGAAAGAAAGTCAAACTAAATTTTCAAAAATCAGTCTACATGGTAGATATAACTTAAGTTAGCAAATGGGAAGATACTTTAATTAAGGATAATAATTATATTTTACAGGGATATTAATTAGAAACATTAACCTTGTGTAAATTTAAATACAGTACTTTTATTTACATGTATGCATAATGAATCATGAACAAATATTTTTGATAAATCCATATCTGCCAACGAAGATACATATTGATTTTCCAAAATACACAAGCTAAGAATTAATTTAAAAAATATTTCTTACTGCTGGTTTTTGAGTGCATAAATCCATCTTTTTATTTATAGTACTGGTGCAATGCTTTCATGGACCTTGGATTTCACTCACCTGTAACAACAACAAATGGTGTAGAATCCCTCAACAAAGCCTTAAAGCACTTTTATTTAAAACTAGCTAATCCTGGGACATTGAGCACCTTGATGGGAGTAGTCATCCAGGATTTCCTACCAGATTTGTTTCAGAACTATGTGATGTTGAATTACAGGTATGAATGCAGTTTTAAAAATCTCCATAAATCCTCAGCTGACCTATCAGACTAGCTGTCATGTGTTCATCCCTTTTTACGTGTTTTACTTTCCTGTGACCCAGATTTCCCATAAAATTCATGTGTCTTTCTATCAATTATGATGTTAGCTTTTCTGCAACTCCCCCATATTTCTTCAAACCTGATTACTCCTGCTTACCAAGGTTGGGGGAGGGGGAATGATTGTGTGGAAGTAGGATTTTAAGCAGGATAAGTCTAATAAAATACTAGTTAAGATCATTGATTAAAAGATTTGCACCATTACTTTAAAACATTTACTTTTCTGTCAGTAAATATTATGTACATTATAAATATTGGTTTATGTGTGAACAATTTCCATTACATACGTTTAAAAATTTTTAAAGGGGAGTATTGTAGACCAGTATGAAATGTCAGATTCATTCAATTTTTATCACTTTTTGAGTTAGTACTCACTACCAAGTAGCAGGCTTTGGGGAAATACATGTACCATTGAATACAAGTAAATACAGTATCAGCAATCATTTGATGATAAGTGCTAAGCATAATCAAAGGAAGCATTAAAAATTTTAAAGTAGATAACACATAATATTTCCATTTCTAATCTTTTTTCTCTGTGATAACTCTTTGAAAGTTAGCAGATTGATTTCTTGATAATTCTACCAGAATGTAAATTAGGCAGGTCGATAGGTCAGGAGCTAAGGAGGCCTAATATGCATGTAAATCTCGTGTGGCTGTCCTTGTGTTTGACATCAGTGGGCGAGGACTATTAAAATTGGCATGATAGTCCTCGTGTCATTTAAATCTTTGTCTACATTTTTAAAATCTAAATCTACAATTTTATTTCACAATGAAATGGAAATATAAGGAATCATTGTCTAGCTAGTATAGTATGCCAGGGACATCAATGATATTGAGAATCATGGGATAATTTATGCATGACGGGCTTCGCCTGTTATGCAATTATCCCATGTTTCCCAATATCATTGATGCCCTGGCATACTATACTAAGTAGACAAAGTTTCCTTAAACGCAATAATGAAATATCAGTATAGAGTAGTTGGGGAAAAGCAACAATGTTCAAAACATAAAATGACGGAAAAGCAGGCCAGCCGCTCTTTATTAAATTTTCCTGAGTATAGTATTATTGTTTTTACATACATTATGTCATGTTAGCAAGCCCACTGTGATAATTTGAAGGTACTTCATCTATTTGTACATAGTTTGACACAATCTAAAATATTTTAGGGCAAGTTCCAACTTTAAAGCGTATGATGCAAGCATACCAAAGTACTTGCATAACCGTCCACGGAAAGTTGTAGAACACTGCATGCAAAGATACCACTCCAGTGACCAGATAGGCTCAGGTGATATAAAGATTGCAGATGACATTTCTGGACGGATATACCATGTAAAAAGTAGGGAATCCAGCCAAACCTACCAGGTGACTATGGGAAGTGGGAAGAAATTTCCTCATTGTACCTGTGAAGACTTTCGTAGAAACTTCCTTCTCTGCAAACACTTTTTTGCCATCTTCAAGAGTACAAACCAAAGTTGGAGCGATTTATCTCCACTATATGCAGAAAGTCCCTTTGTAAACTTAGACTTTGGAGCTGTAGAAAAACATGAAATTGTAAATGTGTCATCAGATTTTGAAATTCCAACCCAGAAGTTTTTTGAAAAGGAGGGGAAAAGTCTGAGATCTTCAAGAGGATTCCGAAGACCTTCAAGAAGACTGCACAAAACTCCAAAGAGATGTTGTGGCTGAATTAAAAGATCTTCAAAATAAAGCCTATATTTGTTCAAATCATAATGCACTGAGTAGATGTCTGTCCATCCTCAATAATGCAAATGCCATACTGTCTGAAAATATCCCAAAACAAGAGGGAATACCCCTTAGACAGAAGACAAAGTTAAGGAACCTCCCTCCTAGAAGAAAATACTTCAGAAAGCTTGGAAAATATCAGAGAAGAGTTGGAAAGAAGGCAAAGACTATGAGAGATGCTTCTGTAATAGGTACTAAAATTAACTGTCAAAGAAAATGTTTTCACTCTGTCAGTTGTTTTTTTTAAAAGTCATTGGGAAATAGTTGATTATAATTATATTCAGTCTAAGATTAAGTAAATTTTTCATGAAATACCTCAACTGAGACAAAGGCTCAATTAAGCTTTATGGATCAAGGAGTTTGGTCTGTTGTTGCTTGTAACATTTCACATTTTCAACTTCTTATCAAGAACCAATGGGCCAATTTCAACCAAACTTGTTACAAAGAATAAGTGAAGGAGATTTAAGTTTGTGTTCAGGAAGTGTCTTGCATTTTTTAAAGGAAAGATGGTTAAGATTTCATGAAACATAGGTGAGATCTTTAAAAGATATTGTTCTCATGAAACACTTGGACAGAAATGATGAAATTTGTGTGAGAGTTTCATTACCTACTATAAATTTTTGTTCATATGACCACCATAGTAGGTGAGGCAATGACAGGGAGTCAAAGTTTCGCATAGAAATATATATAAAGTAACTCTTTTTCAAAAGAAAAACAAAGCCATTTTCTTTTTTGAAACTTGTTTTGCATCACATTATGGCATCTTATTTGAAGTTTCGAAATGTGTCAGTCCCAACGGAAACAAAAATGACAACTTCCGGTTAAAAGAGAAAAACTACATAATTTGAGTATCTTTCTTTCCCTTAAAATTTTGTATAGTTAAAGTATTTGTAATGATTTTTAGAAATGTTATTCAGACTGCAAATGTCTACAGTAAAGTCTAATATCTCAGTAAAATTCACTTCCGGTCGCGTGACTTCCTGTCTTCAAAATCAGAAGTTATCATAGCAAGATCTCGTTAACGGTAAGAGATTAGGACACCAAATTAATAGGGATGGTAGACCTTGATGAGTAGACATATCCTTTGAGTTTAAGATCGTCCGCCGTCACTTCTGGTTGTCACAGGAAGTTATCAAATAAATCGAAAATTTCAGCTTTTCTTTATGGAATCTTTCTAAGTAATACATTATAGCATCTTTTTTTGTAGTTTTGAAATATGTCAGTCCCACTTGAAACAGAAACGACAACTTCCGCTTATTAGAGAAAAACTGCATAAATTTAGTATCATACTATCCCATAAATATTTTTTATAAAAATAGCATTTAAAATGATTTTTGGACGTGTTGTTCAGATTGACATGTCTAGAGTAACCTCAAATATCTTTTCAAAAATGTACTTCCGGTTATGTGATTTCTTCTCCTCAAAATGAGAAGATAATATTACGAGATCTCTTACATGTAAACTGTAACAGATCAAGACACTAAACTTATATGAATAATAAACCATGAAGACTGGGCAACAGATATAGGGGAAAATGCGTCCCCCGTAACTTCCGGTCGTCACAGAAAGTGATGAAAAAAAATTGAAAATGATTTTTGTAAATGTTATTAAGACTATAATTGTAAAAAGTAATGTCGAGAATCTTCGAAAGTTACACCTCCTGTCGTTTGTTTTCCTGAAAGCATTTAAAATATTATATAACTTTTTTAACATAGATAAAAGCTCATTCATGCACATAAATAGAGGAGAACGGAAGACCTTCTTTGTTGCTGTAGCAACAAGAGTTTCTAGTAAAGGTCTTCTGTTTCAGACGGAAGACCTTATAGTGATTCTACTGTTTCTTTTTATTATTATTATTATTTTTTTCCCTTTTTCTTTATGATGATTTCTCAGAGATGACTGGACGGATTCACGTGAAATTTTCAGAGATGAATAGACAGTTAAAATATCTTCCAAATGCAGTTTTCAGATTTTCAAAATTCACTTCCGGTCGTCAGATATGTCCGATTTCCGTTTTTTTTCAAAAAAGTTTTGTCCGAGTCATATCTCAGAAACGCTAAGAGATTAAGACACCAAACTTTTAGGAGTAATAGATCTTGATAAGTAGGCAAAACCACTTGGGTTAACACTGTCCGCCGCCACTTCCGGTCGTCACAGGAAGTGATCAAAGAAATCGAAAATTTCAACTTTTCTGTTTTCAAATATTTTTTGCATCACATTATAGCATCTTATTTGTAGTTTCGAAATATGTCCGTCCCACCGGAAATAAAAAGGACAACTTCCGGTTTTAAGAGAAAAACTGCATATTTTCAGTATTTTTCTCTCCCTTAGATATTTTTTATACATA